TCTCCTCCCTCAAACGTAACCCAAACGTTACACCGCCATGAAAAAAACCCATAAATTAGCCGCATCATATTATAGGCCGCAGTGTTCAAAGTGTGGGAAAAAAGTAGCGGCTTATAGCCCGGAATTTACGGTAGTATATTAAATAAAATGTATTTTAGGTAAATAGGTGGAGATTGATTAAGAGATTCCCCTGTGAATTTAATATGGTTTGGTCCGTCACAGCTGGGACTATTTAAAACACAGTGGACTTGTGGGCTGTACATTATGGCATCTTATAGGTCTTTGCTATTGTGAACAGCCCAAATATATTAGTTATGTCATGAATCTCTTCAGATATGAAATATTGATAACGATAACTTTTCTCCAGGTTGAAGACATTTGGATTCGAAGGGAATGTGTTCTGAAAGGGCTCATCACCTTTCTTGGAGAGGATGCAAAAGACCTTATTAAGGAATACTGTGTAAGTTTTTAAAGGTTTAAAGTTGCATCCCATCCCATTCAAGCAGATGGACAAATTCAATGTCAGTTGTTTTTACCTTCTTAAATGATTTATGGACTGGTTTTTCTAAATGTGAACATCTGTTTGAAAAAATGGGGCAGATTTGGTGTCAGAAATGTAAATTTAACATGGCTGTATCCTGCTTAAATCCAGAAATGGTGAATTTGCTGTTCAGCAGGGCACATCAACTTCATTTCTTGTTTACCAATATGCCAAACAAGTTAATAAGAAATATGTTTTAGAGTCATGGTATTTTGATACCAGCTCCAAAATATCTGACAAGCAACACAAATATGCATTTTGTATTGAGTTCCACCCTAAGATGACCATTGGCTGGATCAGTATTCTGCTTTGATATAAAATCTAAGAAATTGTTTTTTAAGCTAAAGCCTGTAATATGATGGAACATATACTGTATAAAGCTATATACATGCATTATCTTTTAAAAAAAATTAAAAATCACCCTTTGAGTTATTCAATTTGTAATGCAACTTTGAACTTGGAAAATTTATCAAGGATATTTCAAATGCCGTAAACCACTCTTCAATTCAAAAGCTGTACATCTTATACTTGGTGCTTGCATTTACAAGGCTTTTATTTTCCAAATTCTGTAGTGAGAGATTAGTTACAGTGTTCAAGTTTTAACATATTGTTTAACTCACTACAGGGCAGCAGCGGAGATGATGCCCAGATGGAACTCAAACAACTCACCATGGCAGTGTTTGTGATTCGGAAGGAGGGAGAGGGATTGAAAGAACCCCCAGAAGACATTGGCATCGTCATTGAGGGAGTGGAGGTGTTGCAGGACCTGACTTCATTTGCCTCAGCATGTGCCCTGCTTCTGGGTTTGATATATTCCCTTAACCTGGCTTATCCAAAGGCCCTGCGCTTCACATTTGTTCACAAGTGTTCCAAAAAATCTTCATACAGCTTGAGCAGCACAAGATGTCTCCCAAAGCTCAAAATTTGTTTGGAAGACTTCAGACCTCACAGTAAAGACACTGGAATGTTGTGCAACAGGACAGAAGATCTTCAGTCTTCTTTGTTAGGACAGAAGAGCGCCATGTTTTTGAAGCTTAACACCTCAAGAAACTGCACGTTGTGAACTTCTTTTGGGACATTGTTCATATTAAAGCCACAAGTAATACAGAGTTTACTGGATAACAATTGTGACTGGTATTTCTGGAGGATGTTTACTGATGAGGTTGTGATGAACATTATCATTTTGGGAGTAGGTCTTTTTTGTTTTTGACATTTCATGAAGTTACATGGTTCATCTCTTTGGTTTTGTGTGGGAAAAAAATACAAGTTAAGGGGGAAAAATTAAAGTTTGAATCAACAGATTTATGCAGTGATTTTTGAAGGTGGTTGAATGGATCTAGATCATAATGTTTACTATTCTGTTCTTTTCTGGTGTCAGTCAAATTAACAGACTTGGTTTAAACTAGGCAGCTATTACACCACATCTTTGTTTGAAAACTTGCCTAAATATTTTTTGGGTATTGCACTAGTGTCATTATATTTTATGTCAAAATATGTTCTCAGCAAATGTTATGGTTTAAGAGTGTGGATTTTCTTTTTTAGGAGGACTTGTGTTAAATCTAAAAAAGCTTTTTTTTTCCAGAGGAATACTTGTGGATTCTACAACCTCACACAGGGGTGTCCAAGTCTTGTCCAGGAGAGCTACCATTGTGCAACTTTCAGATTGGACCCTATTTCAATACCACCTGAAGCTAATTTCTGAATTTACACAACAGCAGACATTCAGCTCAGCAGAGGCGTTGTAATGAGCAGTTCATTTGGTTCAGATGTATTGGAGATGGGATGCATCTGAAAGTTGCAAGATGATGGCTCTCCAGAACTGGACTTGGGTACCTCTGATCTAGCAGGTCGCTGAAATGTAATATCCCTTATGAAGTTTCAAAAGATTTGTGAAGCATGTTTAATGCATAATATTTTGTGAAAAACCTGTAAGTGTGTGATGCTTTCACAATAAAATTTAAAATGTTCCATTTGTGTAGATTTATTATTTTAACCAAGTGGAATTTCTGAGTAGCATGAAGGTATTTTACTCCTATTTTAAAAACTAAAATAACGTGCTAAAAAAACTTTTAAAATGATTTAAATGCAAGCTATATTTTAAGTGAAATGTGAGTGATAATTTAATTTGGGGTAGTTTAGTTTTTTAAGTTGGAACAACTTAAACTTTTGAGTTGACTTTCTATAAAATTAAGTAAGATGGATTTAAATTTTTTATTTGGAATAAAGTAAATGAATTGATTAAGACTGACTTAAATTTGTCAAGTTAACCAAACTTAATAAATTAGGTTGGATAAAATTAATTGAATTACTTGTTACCAATTGAAGCAATTCAATTAAGTTGGATCAACTATTTTCTTTTTAGAGTGTACCTGGAAGACCGTGAGTGATGCTCTATGAGGGTGGTGTGGTGTAGGGAGGCGGGTGTAGGGACGGGGAGCGTTGGGCCAGTGTGTTGTCTTGTATGCATGAGTGTGGATGTGTTGTTTGTCTTGTCTTTGTTTTTTCTTTACAGGTCTTGGTGAATGTCCCTGGGATGAGCGTGAGGGGATTGGACATGTATAAGCTTCGGCTTCTTCCATCCCCTTTTCAAGCCATGCATATGTATTGTTTGTCACTATGTATGTTCTGAAATGTGTGCAGGTTTGAAATAAACTTTATTCAGTTGAATTGAATTGAAGAATGGACATTTTCTCATCCTGTTTCCTTTCACTCCAGGGGAGACTTCTTCATTCAAAGATAGTGACGCTGAAGGATGTAGTGGACCTGGCAGGGTCGGACTTTTAAAATGTGAGGAGGTTTGCTGTCTCTGTGGGCCTCAGGTCTCTGCGTGTGGCTGCACAGCTCTTGGAGAAATGGCGTACCACATGCACTACGGATGAACTTGGGCTTCTTGGAGATTATTGCTCTGGATTGGGGCATCCAGATGTGTTCGACGACTTCCCTGGGATGGTCATTTCACCCATTTTGGATGAAGGTGCCGGTCTTCTCCTATCAGGCATAGCTACAGTCGAGTTGAGTGCTGCCACTGGGAAAAGGTTTTATCAGGCTTGTGTGAAAGTGTTCAATAAAAAGTGTTTCATGGGTAGGGTTGACACACCCTGGCGTTCTGTTTTAAAATT